TGTGTGTGTGTGTGTGTGTGTGTGTGTGTGTGTGTGTGTGTGTGTGTGTGTGTGTGTGTAAATATAGGCCCCTGTGGCCCCAGTTGAAATCTGATTGGCCCCCTGAAGTGCCCCTGTCCTCTCACTCATTTGTTCTTTGCCTGAGATTTGTGATGGTGTGTGCAGTTTCATGTCCAAACACTAGTGGCAGTAATGAGTCAAATAGGAAAGTCCAGCATGAAACAATCTGACCCAATTCTTCTCTTTTTAAGAAAATCTGAACAATCTTGCAGAAAAAGTTTTTGAACTCCATTTTGAAGTCCTCTCCACCGTTTGCTCAGGATGGGAAACTGTGATGAAATGATTCAACACAATCTGCTGGTTTCTTCCTTAGATTGTTTTTTTTTTCAAGTACAGTGCCCCGACACAGTCTGCCTTTCCCAGCAATTTATCTATGTACAGAAAAAATACATTTAAAATTGTAAAGGATAATTTACTTAACCCTGGAGTTTCAAAATATTTTTTACATACTGTATTATTGTAGAGTGTGTCATAATTGACATTGTTGAAACATGTTGTTTAAGTTTCAAATTACTATTGGGATTGATCATTTAAAAAAAAGTTAATATTTGTTGGAAGTAGCAGTAGCACCCTTCAAAATTTTTTCAGGTATTTACCCGATATTTTTAATATGTTCTGGTGTTTTTTTTTTTTTTTGGCCACCAGAAACATTTCCTTTAAAAGATAATGTAATAGCATTTGTGAAATTTCGCAACAAATACCTTTTTTTAATTTGTCTGCTTTGCTTGGCCAATAATGTGAAACTAAACGTTTCCGTTTAAAAATTGAAGTCAGTAATTTTCAAAGCAAACTCAGCATTAATCAGTCTCATTTCTTTCTTGTTTTGACCTACCTACACAATGACATGTTTATTAAGTTAATGTTACTCATATTTCTGCATTGTAGAATTTGACAATACATGTTTTTGTTGGTCTGTAGGTTAGTTCAGTTTCTGGGATATGAATAACTGAAGAAGGAAAATCCAGTTTTATAATGTGTATAACAAGCTGGGTATTTCCGGTTTTGTTGCTTAAATATTTAAAAGCTATGTAAAAATGAATGTTGAACCAGCTGATGCCATTTCCTGGTCATTCAGAAGCATGTAAATGGTCTAATGGTCCAAATGATGCTTTCACTGATAAATTAAAGAGCTATAGATTAAAACGGGAATGTCAATTTGGAAATTCTGGAAAGTGAACAAAAGCATTTCTTTTCAAAGTCCTTAAAACTTGTTTCCCTCTTGGCAAATTTTTCAGTCTATTGGTTATTCTTAAAATATGTTTTGATGAAGTTACTGAATCCCTGAAAGGATGAGTCATCTCTGTGTATTTACTTTGTGATGCAAAACCAAAGCAAGTAAAATGAATTATAATTTTCTCA